TGTGTTATCTCTGACTCCAGCATCGGCAGTTCTTGCTATCTCTCAAACTGCACTAATCCCATTTATCTGCACTTAGTCCATTGCTTACTATGCCCTGGTATTTTAAGTACTCATCTAGCTGCTGCTTATATGTTATGAGAGTACCTGCCTCCAGCACCCTCTCAGGCAGCATGTTCTATATTTCTACCACACTCTGGGTGAAAATATTTTTCTCAGATTCCCTCTAACCTTCACCTTAAACTTATGCGCTCTGGTCTTCGACACGTCTGTCATGGGGAAAAGATTCTCACAATCTACCCTGTCTATGCCTCTCATAATTTTATTTTCCTCAATCAGATCCCCCCGTCAGCCTCCTCTGCTCCAGGGAAAACAAGTCGGGGCTATTCAGTCTCTCATGATAACTAAGACTTTCCATTCCAGGCAACATCCTGGTGAATCTCCTCTGCATCCTCTCCAGTGCAGTCACATCCTTTGGATTTAGTGATCAGAACTGCACACAGTACTCCGTCTGTGCCCTAACCAGTTCTTTATAAAGTTGTAACAAGACTTCCTTGTTCCAAATTCTATACCCCAGCTCATGAAGGCAAGCTTCCTGTACACCTTCTTCACCGCCCTGTCTACCTATGCTGACACCTTCAGGAATCTATGTACTTGTGCACCAAGGTCTCTTTGTTCCTCAGTATTCGCTAGGGATATTCATTGTGTGTATCCTTCCTTATTAGACCTCCTAAAATGTATCACCTTCCACTTATCAGGGCTAAATTCCATCTGCCATTGCTCTGTCCAATTTACCAGCTGATCAATATCAGACTGTAGCCTGAGACCATTCTCTTCAATAACACTATCAAAAACACCACTAATTTTCATGTCATCTGCAAACCTACTAATCACACCTTCTGCATTCACATCCAAGTTGTTAATGTACATAACAAACAGCAAGGGTCCCAACACTAATCTATGTGGTAAACCACTGGTCACAGGCTTCCAATCACAAAAACAATTCTCCACCATCACTCTTTGCTTCCTATTTGCAAACCAATTTTGGATCCAGTTTGCCAACTTACCTTGGATCCTATGGGAACTTACCTTGGATCCTATGGGCTATTACCTTTTGGACCAGTCTTTCATGTGGGACCTTGTCAAAGGACTTACTGAAGTCTATGTAAACCACATCAATTGTATTACCTCCTCAATAATATTTTGTCACCTTTTCAAAAAACTCAATTAAATTAGTCAGACAGGATCTCCCTCTAACAAATTCGTGCTGACTATCCCTGCCTTTCCAAGAGTTGATTAACCCTGTCCCTCAGAATTTTTTCCAATAATTTCCCTACCACTGATGTCAGACTAACTGGCCTGAAATTACTTGGTCGATCCCTGCTGCCCTTCTTGAACAAAGGAACCATGTTAGCTATCTTCCAGTCATCTGGCACTTCATCTGTGGCCAGCGAAGTGTCGGGGCCCCAGCAATCTCCTCGATTGTTTCCCATAGCAGCCTGGGATACATCTCATCAGGTCCTGGGGATTTATGCGCCTGTTTGCCCATTAAAACGTATAATACCTCCTCCTTATTAATCGTAATACGATCTAGAAACTCACCATCCCAACTGAAATCCCCAGCCGCAATGTGTTTCTCCTTTGTGAATATAGATGAGAAAAATTAATTTAAGACGTCACCCACAACCTCTGGCTCCACACAGTGTTTGCATCTTTGGTCTCTAATAGGCCCCACTCTTTCCCTGGTAGTCCTTTTACTCTTCATACACATATAGAAAGCCTTAGGGTTTTCCTTGATCCTATCTGCCAAAGATATTTCATGGCCCCTCTTCGCCCTCCTAATTTCTTTTTTAAGCAACCCCCTACACTCTATACTTTTGAAGGGCCTCCACATTCTTAATGCACTGTACCTAACATAAGCTGACTTTGTCTTTCTCAAACTCGTGATATCCTTTGACATCCAGGGCTCCCTGGACTTGCTGCCCTTGCCAATTATTCTTAAAGGAATACGCTAGCCCTGAATTCTCACAATACTATTTTTAAAAATTCCCATTTTCCAAATGTAGACCTATCTGCAAGTAGCTGTTCACAGTCTATTTTTGCCAGATTCTGTCTAATGATATTGAAATTGGCCTTCCCCCAGTTTAGACATTTCTGCACTATCCTTTATCCTTTCCTGTAATGACTTAGAGTTTTGGCTATTATCCCCATGGGTTTGATGCGACAATGTAGAGTTCAGCCATTTATGTGGTTAGAAACCACAGTATAAACAGATTGAGGGAAGCTTTAAACATTGAAAATGAAATAAAATGTATTTTTATACTTTGTTTTCTCTCTTCTGGAGACACTGATTGCTTCTGGTTATCCTCGACTACCTTGTCCATTGTGTGAAACTAAGACTGACAGACCTTGATTTCTGATTCTTATTATTTTAATGCTGATCGGAAATCTTTGTTACACTGAGCAGGATATCTGTGAGGAAGTCATTGCTGAACGCCATAATCATCATCTAACATCCCCACATGGACATTTTTCAGCAGGTGTTGTAGAATTATAGACTGGTTAGAGCACAGAAGGAAAAAATGCCTGGATGATGTGACCATCATATTCAGCAGCTGTTTGACCCAAATAATAAGTGTTAATCACAAGTAATAGCTCTGAAAATATCTCATTTTGTACTTGTGAAAGAGACTGAATCATGAAATCAAGCAGAAACGTGATCATTATTATTTTTGGGCCAGTGAACATTTGCGAACATAAACCAAAATTAATTTAAGACCATATTATTTGCTGAGATTGAATCGAAGTTACAATTTCTTGGATTGTGAACAAATTGGATTTACATAATGCCATTAATATAGCTTCACAAGAGTATCATCAATAAAACTTTGCAACATCCAACTATATAAGGAGATATTAGGATAAGTGACCAAAAGCTTGATTAAGGAGGCAGGTTTTAAAAAGCATCTTCGAAGAAAAGAGAGGTTGGGGAGGGGAAGTCAGGGAGAGGAGCTCTCCTAGTCCCATTGTACTGCCTTTTCCCTGTAGTCCTGTAAATGTTTTCTTTTCAGATAATTATCTGATCTCCTGTTGAAAGCTATGATTGAAGCTGCCTTCGCCGCGTATTCAGGCAGTGCACTCGAGGTGGTCCTAACCACTTGCTATGTAAAGACATTCTTCCTCATGTCATTCACCTTAATTCAATGCCCTTTTTTCCTTTTGATCCTTTCACCAATGGACAATGGTCAGCAATGGGGACCCTTCCTGATTTCCCACCCCAGTTCTCACCTCCAAATTCCAGGCCGAACTGAGGCCAGTTCTATCATTCTCCTGTTGTCCTCTGTGAGATCAGATAACTCAGCATAGGCCAGGCCTGAATTGAAAGTTCTTCACAATTCAGCTTCACATTGTGGAGTGTAGTTGCAAACTCAGCCATTGGGTCACTGATTTTCTTTCTCATTACGTGTAAGATTTATGTTACTGTCCAATGATTATACCCTGTATGCTGATTTAATTTTGCTTTCTATTCCATCCACTCTTCTCACATACACAGTCGATCCGGGAGGTGACAGGATACGTTCTGGTGGCCCTCAATCAGTTTGAGTATCTTCCTTTAGAAAACCTACGAATTATACGTGGCACAACACTGTACGATGACAAGTACGCACTCTCAGTCATTCTCAATTATCGGAAGGACGGAGTTCATGGGTTGAAACAACTTGGATTTAAACAGCTAACAGGTAGGATTGTTGAAATGCTGGGTGGATGGAGGAGCGGCTGGGAGGATGAGTGTAATACAAAGAGGGCAAAACATAGATTCCCCTTTACCAATGTTGATTCAGCACTTGACAAAGCCCCCAACCATGGATTTTCAATGACCATGGCACCTTTGCAGACATTATGACTTTTTCTCCTATTCTGAAAGGTAACTCAGGTAATGTCCCATAGACAGCTGTACCCTACCAATGAGAACATATACATTGAGTGTTGACAAGCTGTTGAACCACAGAAAGCATCAGAGTTGAGTCCATTCTCATCTTCTGATGAGATCTCGACTAATGTCTTCCATTCAATCCTGAGATAGTGTATTACAAAGCTGCTTTATATTCATTATTGCTTTGAGGATTCAAGTTTTGAGGATTTCATTAAAGTTTTGTGAACATACCTGGAGTGTTTTCTTTTCCAAAACAATTGAAAGTTAATTGCAGACTTTTATAATGAAGTTTCCTAGAAATCACACGACTGGTGAAATCTGTGGTCCTTGTTTTGGATCAGTGACGGACTTGGAGTGGTGCTTTTTTTGTTGGGTTAGTTGAAGGAAAGCCTACTAAGAACAAGCTGCCCAGATGATTGCTCTTATTTCTGAAAAGAAAATCGTCTATTGCGTTCTAGTGAAATCTATTTGTTCTTTTGAAAGAGTGATTGAAGGAACATCTCAAGTTTGTGTCTCCTGGGCAAGCTTTGTCTGTATGACTTCAAAAACAGCCATACATGATTAGTAACTGACCACTCATGCCAGAACATTTGATCAGTAGACACCCTAATGTTCTACACTTTATTCTTTTGCCTTTAAAAATAACCTATTGACCAAAGTGATTTTTTTTTTCCCAGAAAGCCAATCACTGCAGAAAAACGTTCTATTTTTCCCTTCTCCTCAAGTGTCTGCATGTTTGCACATGTGTTTTAGGGATATTTAGAGGGATAAGAATTTCTACTTCTATCTTACTGACTGTATGTTAACCAGTTATTGCATCTTTTTGAATCCATTTTGCTTTAATGATAATTTTTGATTAAAAAAAACATGGTTAACTGATCATGTCACTTTAAAAGTTCAATATAGATAAGGTATTTATTTGATCATCTTGGTAATTGGAGAAAAATAGTTTTATTTATACATTGTGACCCATGAAATGATGGGGCTAGAGCAACAATGCACTCCTCCAGCCCTGATTGTAAAAAAGAAATTGATTAAATTAAGAAGGAGGCATTGTTTCAGATCTGAAGCCTTGCAAATTAAGCAGGCGGAAAAAAAGACTATCTGTTTTGTACCTAAAATATCTTGGTGTTTCCCTCCAGCTCATTCAAATTCTCTGTTAAATCTATGCGTTTGGATAATACTTGACAGGTGTAATTAAAAGATTTATTTGTTGTGACTTTTGCAATGAGTCAGTGAGAAAAGCACAGTTTCTGTCAAACCAGATTTTCAGCTGGGGAACAGGATTGGAGCCAAATTTCAGAAAGCAAGGCAGCAAAAAGGATACGCATGGTGAAAATTAGCTAGCAGAGTCACCCTGCAGCTTTTCTGCTATGCATCATACTCATCCACTCCACTTCTTCTCATGAAGAGATTGTTTCACACTGCATATATCGGTGCCAGGAACCCCTCTGATATGTCATCCAGGTTTCCTAAGATGGAGCTCAGACAGTCAGTGTGAGTGGGCTGTTTGACTATGGATATATCAGAGTTGAGTCTGATTGTATTCCCATCTGATACTACATAAACGCACTTTGCAGTAGAAATGTGCTGAACAACAAGAATCCTGACTGGTTTTCCTCTTCCTAGCCAGAGGCTAATTGCTCTGCCCCAGTTAGAACCCAGCATGACATTTTACATTCTCAGTACATACCAGAAATTGAATTTGGAGATATCCTGGTCTATATGACTTAGTGCCTCATACTGGGTCATGAGGGAGCTCATGATAAAGCTTGCTGCAAAATGAATGTCTTGAATTGCCCTGCCATGATCAAGTTGACTACTGATGTTCTCTTCTACAAGTATCCTTCCAGTGGAAGTGGTTTAGTAATTGAGGTAGTCCCCATAGCCCCTTCATCATCCTGGTTACACTGCAGGGCAAATTTAGCAATCGGGAGACTATGTGCGCATTAATGAGACTTTAAAACAAATTAAGACAACAACAATTTACATTTATATAGCACTTTTAGTGTACCAAAATGTCCTAAGGCACTTCAGAGCAGCATCATCAGACAAAATGATGCCTCAGCCGTTTAAAGAAATATTAAATCAGATGACCAAATGTTTGGTCAAGGAAATAGTTTTAAGAATCATAGAATCCCAACAGTGTAGAAAGGGGCCATTTGGTCCATCAAGTCTGCATCGACATTCTGAAGAGCAACTTGAAGGTTCTGCTGCCAATGGCGGAATGATTAAAATTGAGCACGTGGAGGAACGTAGATACCTTGCAAGGTTGTAGGGTGCAAGTAAGCTGTTGGTCTGCATTGGTGAGCTCAGTCTTTAACCCGTCTTTGCTTTGAATTGAAATTACAAGCTTGAAGCAGTATAATTGCAGCTGGTTAACTTTACTGTCACCAGCACTTTTGATCAGAGATATTTCATGAAATTTTCTCCTTCAGCAAACTTTTGATGCTTTCAATGTCATCAGTGTGTGGTCATTTACACTTCAGGGTGGCCTCCAATAGACCTCTTGTTATTGTATAAAGAGAGTTCACATTTGTATTCCTTAACCAGCTCCTTGGAAAGAGCCTTTATCCCTAGATTGCTGCCACCAGCCTCCTGTAATGTAGCATGAATCTTGTGCATTCACCTGGTGGCACATTGTGGAATTACAAAGATCTTTACTTAAAAGATAAAGGCAAAAAGTACCACATGCAGGCAATGAGTAATAATATTTAACAATCAGATATTTAAATGTGTGAAATTATGTAGTGACAGACATTGACAAATATTCCTCTCATGAATTCGCTTTACAGAGTTGGGGTTCTCTTAGCTTGTAATATCACAAATTGTTGGTTATCATGTGGCTCCTGGACATATTGGAATAAGTTCAGTTCTTGAATGACAGAACAGATTTCCCCATTATCCCCATCCTCTCCTAGGTCCACTCTTTAGAATCCTTCCTTAAACCCTTCCAACTTCCACTCAGCTTTGAGTTGTCCATCTCATCTCTCAGCTTTAATGCACTAGCTATCTTTTCCTTTCATCTCAGTGAGGCCATTTTTCTACATGAAAGACCTCATGTATCTGAAGGCTCTTGTTGTTAATTGTGACCTGTGCTGGAGGCTGGCATTGATTCAAAGTTCTCACACTCAGAGGCATAGAGTCATTCAGCACGGAAACAGAACCTTCGGTCCAGCTCATCTCCGCCAGCTAGTTGTCCCAATCCGACCTTCTCTCATTTGCCAGCATTTGGCCCATATCCCTCCGAACTCTTCCTATCCATGTACCCATCCAGATGCCTTTTAAATGTTGTAATCGTACCCACCTCCACCGCTTCCTCTGGCAGCACATTCTATTCACCCTCTGTGTGAAAAGGTTGCCCCTCAGGTCCCTTTTAAATCCTTCCCCTTTCACCTTAAACCTACATCCTCAAGTTTTGGACGTCCCCAACCCTAGGAAAAGAACCGTGGCTATTCACCCTATCCATGCCCCTCATGATTTTATAAACCTCTCTAATGTCACCCCTCATGGAAAAAAGCCTCAGCCTATTCAGCCTCTCCCTCGAGCTCAAATACTTGTCCTGATGACATCTTTGTAAATCTTTTCTGCAACCTCTCAAGTTTAACAACATCCTTCCTATAGAATGGTGACCAGAACTGTGCACAGTATTCCAAGAGTGACCTCACCAACATCCTGTACAGCCGCAATATGATATCCCAACTCTTATACTTGATGTTCTGACCTATGAAGGCAAGCATGCCAAATGCCTTCTTCACCACCCTGTCTACCTGCAATTCCACTTTCAAGAAACTATGCACCTGCACTGTTAGGTACTTTTGTTCGAAAACACTCCCCAGGGCCCTATCATTAAGTGTATAAGTCCTGCTCTGATTTACTTCACCAAAATGCAACATTTCACATTTATCTGAATTAAACTCCATCTGCCATTCCTTGGTCTATTGGCCCATCTGATCAAGGTCCCATTGTACTCTGAAATAATCTTCTTCACTATCCACTACACCACTTATTTTGGTGTCATCTGCAAACTTACTAACCATATCTTCTATATTCATAGCCAAATCATTCACATAAATGACAAAAAACAGTGGACCCAGCACCGATCCTTATGGCATACTACTGGTCATAGGCAACTCTCTACCACCATCCTCTATCTCCTACCTTCAAGCCAATTTTATATCCAATTGGCTAGCTCCCCCAGATCTCATGTGATCTAACCTTGCTAATCAGTCAACCATGCTGAACCTTGTCAAAAGCTTTGCTGAAGTCCATATAGACAACATCTACCGCTCTGCCTTCAGCAATCTTCTTTATCACCTCTTTAAAAAACTCAATCAATCTTCTTCTCTGAACTGACTCAGTAAATATTTAGCAGCTTATTCAGTCAGGGAGGATGAGTGTGGTGAACAGAAAAGACATCACAGCTGAGTCCTACCACTGGCTACTGACAGCTGATGGTTGTGGTTGGGTAGCTTGCTACAACCATGCTGAATTTAAAGTTTTATCTAACAGTAGTAAGGGATAGATAACTGACGAGCGTTAACATGAAAAAGCACTTGACTTGAATAACATGATAACCATAGTTACAATTAACATTAACCAGTTAAGCACAATTACAACTATCTCTTGAAATTTCTTCATAGCCAAAGTTTTTAGGAAGGCTGTGCTTGATCAGCAGTTGCAGGCCCACCGGTGGTGAGTTAGGCCTACCTGTGACGGGCACATTCTCCCACAGCAGGGGAAGGTGAAAATGACATTGTTGTAGAGGCAATTGGATCTATTCTCCTCCTTTTCTTTATCCCGCTGGCTCTCTGCTCAGTCTCAAAGGAGTCTGGAGTACTCCCGATTGAGAATGTTCAGGAATCACAATCCCTGGGGCCTGGCCTGTGCTATCCACTGGATGATGGTCAATGAGAAATACAGAAAGGGACCTTTTCAGGGAGCCCTTGAAACATTTGCGTGGAGCCTGTCTGTTCTGTTGACCAGTGGTTAGCTCTCCATACAACATGATCTTGGGCAGGTGATTATCATCCATCTGTGGACAATGTGATCTGCCCCACCCAGGTGGCTTTGCAGGAGGATGGCCTTGATGTTGGTGATGTTTGCTGTTCCCAGGACTTGAATATTTATGAGGTGGTCTTGCCTGTGAATCACGAGGATTTTGCAGAGGCAATGCTGATAGAAGATGTACATGACAGTGGTACAAGATCCATGGCTTCATTGCCATATAGAAAGGTGGCAAGGACTGCGGCTTTGTTTGATTTTGGTCTGTACTCTGAGACTGAGATTGCTGCACAGTTCTTTGAGAGTCTGCTGAATGTACTGTTCACTTTTAAATGTCTATTGTCTACATCCTTGTTTATGGTGACATCAAATGAGATGATATTCCTCAAATAGGTAAATTGCTTGAGGACTTTCAGCTTGTTTCCCTTGGTAACAATATTTGGAGGCAGATATTCTTCTTGTGGTACATACCGATACAGGGCTTCAGTTTGCTTTAAACTGATCTTTTGGTTGAAAGAGTTGTGCTGCCTCGGAAAACATGTTGTCATATGTTACAGATCTGACTGACTTTGGGCCAGGAGACTGCAGTCATCAATAAAAAGTTCATGGATGTGTTTTTCTTGAGTCTTTGTGTGAACCTGAAGAGATTGAAAAGAGCTTTATCAGTCTGGAGACACGTAAACTTCCTCCTTAAGGTCTTCTGTTATCTGCTGCAGCATCAAGCTGAGAAAGATGGTGAATAAGATCTGGGCCAGCATGTATCCCTGCATCACCCCATTTGAGATTCAGAAGGGACTTGAGAGGTTGCTGTTGTGTTTGACTTGTCCATATTGATTTTCATGAAACTGCTTCCAAACGGTCAGGAACCTTCGTGGGCATTCAAGTTTTCCAAGGAGTTTCCAAAGTCCATCTCTGCTCAACATTGAATATCTTGGTAAGGTCTAAAATGTGATGAGCAGGCCTTTGTTTTGCTCGTTGCACTTGTATTTGTCTGAGTACAAATACCTATATCTCTGGTCCCCCTGTTTGCCCTGAAATGGAACTGGCTCTTTGAGAGATTTTCTTCATTGATGGTAGGCACAAGTCTGTTCAGAAGTATTTTAACTTGAGTCTTTTCAGCAATACAAAGTCGGATGATCATATGGTAGTTGGAGTAGTATGACTAATTGCTTTTTTAATCAAGGTGAGGAAACACTAACCCCATCTGTTCCCAACAGGCCATTGGTATGTAGGGCAGGGTTACTGTGCCTCAAGACTTCAGGTGTAATTCCATCATCCCCAGGGACTTTTTAGCTTTACATCTGGTTGATGGCACTTACAGTTTCCTCCAGAGTTAGTGTCTCAACCAGTTCTTCTTTGATAGACAATTGTTTGAGATGTGGTTAATGGCAGTACCATGCACTGTGCACTTAGTGCTGACGAGTGTCAAAGTGATGTGACCAGCAATTCTGCACTGACTTTGTGTTGCTGTATAGTTTCCTACTATTGGTACCAGGGATTTTAGGTTGAATAAACTGGCCCAATACAACTGTCAGCAGCTAGTATGCCATGTCTGTCTCCAACAGGACCTTGTGCAAGGCCAACTGTTGTACCACCCAAAGACAGTGTGACGTCATCAGATTGATTGGTGTGCAATGTGACTTCAACATTAACTCTCTTTTAGAACCATTGTCTTATATAAAACTACTCTGTTCAACAATAATGGCTTGCATTTATATAGCATATTTAACACAGTAAAATGTCTCAAAGATGTTTGTTAGGAGCTGAGCCATATAAGGAGATATGGGACTGATTTAAAAAAAACCTTGGTCAAAGAGAGAGGTTATTATGTGATATGACTTAAAGAATGAGAGAAAGCTTAGGAATTCCAGAACTCGGGGCCCTGGCAGCTGAAGGCATAGATGCCAATGGTGGACAGTTAAAATTGGGATGCTCAAGAGGTCAGAATTGGAGGAGTGCAGATATCACTTCTGACTACGCAGTGCTGGCAAAAATTAGAAGCTCACAACCAGGGTCAGAAACCCTGGGTGATTTTTTTTTGTTTGCTTTCCCTAGCTCAATAATATTGAAGTCCATTTTTGGGATCTGGTAATTCACCATTAAGCCAGTAATTGAGCTTGGAGCCTTCCTGGTCTACAGGACTGAATGAGGGGCCTTGCTGAATGGAAAAATAGCACTTGTCCATGTATTTGCCATTACTGCATTTCATCAAATTTTTTGAATGCAAAATGCTTTTGAGACATTTCTGGAGATGAGTGATACAACACTAGGTATACGCATGACTTCCTTTTTCATCAGTGTATGTGGTGCATTTACCCACTGAGCCACCTGGGGAAGATTTTAGCTTTCTTTTATCCAAATAAGCAATACTCTCAACCAATTCTTCTTTGACAGGCAATTGTTTGATGTGTTTAATGGCAGTACCATGCACTCTGCACTTCGTGCTGACAAGTATCAAAGTGATGTGACTAGCAATCCTGGACTGACTTTGTGTTGGTGTGTAGTTTCCTACTATTGGCGCTCAGGGGATTTCAGATTTAATAAACTGATCCAATACAACTATCAGCAGCTAGTCCTATGTAAGATTTTACAGTATTTGAAAATAATTTATTCAAAAGACAGATGACTAAAGTATTATAGTAGGTTGATATTTCACTTTTTTTAAAAGAAAGCATCCACAGATTTTATTAATGTTTATCCACCTGAAATATTTATCTCCTTGTCTGTCTTTTTTCTGTGGTGTAGAGATTCTGCTAGGAGGTGTGTATTTGGAAAGCAACAATTTCCTGTGTTACACACAGGCCATCAACTGGACTGACATTCTTCATAATCCAAAGGAGAGACTGGACTTCAATGAGACAAAGGACTTCATAAAAGGCTGTAAGTATAGCATCTAATCAATTGGGGTCCACCAAATTTGGAATCTATGGTTTTATAAATTTTCATAATAAGTTGATCCTTTTTCTTAAAGGTGAAGGCCTTAATGTTCCAAATGTCAAACTTTGTCTCATAAATTTTCTGACTCCTTGTGCACAATTTCTCCTTCTATTAACCTTCCTTTCCTAAGTTACCTTCTGGCTGGTGAATGCTTACACATGCACTACTGCTTCTGTATGCACTACGGCTACCAATACTCTGCCAAAATGGCCATTTTTCATTTCTGAATGGTTGATTATTCAACTCTAGGGGCACTACAGAAGTGTCTGATCCTGTCATTGCTTGACACTCTCTCAAGCACAGATTTGACCTCCTCCACTGTCCCCCCAGCCGTCAAACTAACAAAAAACACAAGGGCAGTTTGGTCAATTCAACTTTGAAATGTGGATAGGTTCAGATACATTGTTAATCTGAGGCTTTCTTCTGGACTGTTTTACTGGCAGGTGGGCTGGAGGGATCACAGAAGAGATTTTCTGATTTGGTTAGTTGTTCCTGGGTGTTTCTCTCCAGCTGTCTGCTGTGCTCTAATCAGACTGTGGGTTTGGATGATTATTTTTTTCCCAGATCCCCCACACTTTGCTTGATAATAATAAGGTTGGTATATAAATTGGCATTTATAGAGCACCGTTCACATTCTCAGATGTTTCAAAGTATTCTTGAAACCGATCATCACTATTATCACAGAGACAACCGCAGAAGTGAATTTGCGCACAGCGAAGTTCCATTAATTGCGATGTGATCAATTACTAGTTGATGGTTTGGTGGGGAGTTGGTTGGGATAAATATTGGCCAAGACATTTGAACTCCTCCACACACCTTCAAATAGTGGCTTGAATCTTTAATCCTCTCCTAAGCAGGTGGATGGGATCTCAGTTGAAAATCTCAATGAAAGATGGCACCTCTTACAATGCAGCACCCCTTCAGGTTCCCTAGTCTAGATTATGCACTCAAGTCTCTGTAGTGGAACTTCGAACAACTGAGCTAAGCTGATATAAATGTATAGTGCAGTTTATACTGTTCACATTCACAACAGGCTCCGTCTCTATAAACCCATCAATACAGAATATTTCAAATTTCAAAGCAATGATGTGAAAAACAATGTCCCAAAGAAAAGGAAAAATCCATACATCTAATTAATTTTAAACTAATTAGGATTGGGATCTTTTAAAAAAAATCTTGCTATTAATTCTCAGTTAAGTGAAAAATTTTGGAATTTTGTTGTGTCAGATAAAAGTTGTCATTGTCTTATCAGACAGTAATAAATGCTAAATGTCCAGGAGAATTTCCTGTTCTCAGAAAAGCAGTCTTTTATTAGTTTGAACCTGTATCCCCTTGTCCTAGTTTTCTCAATTTAAGATTTTAATTTTCCTGAGAGTTGAGCTTTTGAGCTTAACTGTCCGCCCAGGCCTGATCCACCTAACCTGGTATTGACAGATCCCACAGCTAGTCACGAAGCCTGGATACCACTGTAGTAACAACACAGCAACATAGGTACGATGGGTCAAATGGTCTCCTACGAACATTGGGAATAGGAGCAGAAGTAGGCCATTCACCCACCACTCCCACTCTGAGCCTGCTCCACCATCTGTTTTGTGTTTCGAATTCCATATTGCCAACTGCCACGGATAACCCTGGGATTGTCGGCCTTAAAACTACATGCCTTCACCAACTTCTGAGGCAGAGAATGCCAATGGCACACAACCCTCTGAAATTCTCCTGTGCTGAAAAGTGCTATGATTTTACCTCCTCCCATATTCTTCACAGATCATTGTCAGCGGCCCAAAAATTGAAGGCAATTACTTTTGCATGCTATCAGTTTAGTTTGTTCAAGTGTATCTGTGTTGTCCCATATTGAGGACATATCTCCTTTTTCTTCAGGTGCCAAGTGTCATGCATCTTGTAACGAACATTGCTGGGGCCCTGGTGAGGATGACTGTCAGACCTGTGAGTATGTCCACTTTCCTATTGAATCTGTTGTTATAGTATATTTGAAGTTAGATCACAGATCAGCCCTGATCGCATTGAATGGCAGAACAGGCTCGAGGGGTTAAATGGCTTACTCCTATTCCTACCACTGCTAGGTACGACTGAAATTAAAAGGTAAAGGGTCAGTCTATTGAGTTCTGGTGCAAGAACTGGCTTAAGATTGCTGCATGTCACAGGAATGTGATATGGGTGCACTACTTCGACTTGATCCAAATGTACCACACATTTCTGAAACATGTCGATGCATTCTGTCAGTGCCAGACTTAACGGATGATTAGAATACGAATATGGAAGAGGTGAGGAAAACATTAACAATAATTAAAAAAACACAATCTCACGCATTGGAAGATGCTAGCTCCCCTTGTTTTCTAGTACTCGTTCATATGTATATAATTTAATCAAAATATAAGAATTCTGAAAGGTAAACCAAATTAGTTACAGATAAATTATACATTAAGTGTTACATTGGCTCAGCTCTGAGGTTGTGGTTTTAAGCCTCATCCAAAGATTAAAGTTCATACTTTACCTAGGTTTATTCTTGAATGTCGTGCAGTTGAAGCCCTACACTGTCAGACGTGAAATTGTTGGATTAGTTGTTAAATTGAAGCTCTATCTGCCTACTCAAATAGATCTCAATGGCACTAGGACTTTGGGATGTTATGGGGATCTCATAAATGCAAGTTCTTTATCAGATAGAAGCCTTAGGAACTGGTGTGTTCTTTTGTCTACTCCTCCATAGCATGGCTTGAACATTGGAATAATAAGACCATTCGAATATTATGTTGGCCATGAAAGACTGAAATTTCATCAGAGAGCTGTTAGTGTTTGGAATTCTCTATCCCAGAGGGCTCTGGACCTTCACTTGATCAATTATTTAAGACTGAAACTGATAGATATTTGGTCACTAAGGGAATCACAGAAAATGTGAAAAGGGTGAGAAAGTGGAGATCAGTCATGATTTTATTAAATGGTGGAGCAGGCTGGAGGAGTCATAAGGCCTACTTCCACTTCTTATGTTTGTTTTTCCTTCCGATGATGTTCAGTTTTGTGATGTCCTCAAGGGTTCATGACCTCTATGGAACCCTGGCAAGAATCAATGCCTTGAGGTAAATGGGTGAAAAAATGATGAGCGAGTAGAAAAAGCTGTAATGATTCTTTACTCAAATTAGACACTTCCAACTGTCAAGACTTCAAAACATAATCTTTACTGTTTACTACTTTCTTTTCTTCCTCACAGTGACTAAATCAGTGTGTGCTCCTCAGTGCAATGGCCGATGCTTTGGACAACACAACCCCAGTGAGTGTTGCCACAGTGAATGTGCCGGTGGATGTTCAGGACCAAAAGATACTGACTGTTTCGTAAGTCTTTTCCTTTAGTCAAAAGGTGACGAAATGTGAATTCTAATATAATTCACTGGAGGCACGGTAGCTCAGTGGTTAGCACTGCTGCCTCACAGCGCCAGGGACCCGGGTTTGATTCCAGCCTTGGGCGACTGCCTGTGTGGAGTTTGCACATTTTCCCCGTATTTGCATGGGTTTCTGCCAGGTGCTCCGGTTTCCTCTCCATCCAAAGATGTGCAGGTAAGGTGGATTGGCCAGGCTAAATGTGCAGTTACGGGGATAGGGTGATGTGGAGGTGCCGGTGTTGGACTGGGTTGAACAACATCAGAAGTCACACAACACCAGGTTATAGTCCAACAGGTTTATTTGAAATCACAAGCTTTCGAAGTGCTGCTCCTTCATCAGGGATGCTGTTCGGAGGGTTGGTGCAGACTCAATAGGCCAAATGGCCTCTTTCCACACTGTAGGGATTCTATAAGAGCAAAGTATTGGAAATCAGAAATTAAACCAGATATCCCGAAACACTGAGATCTGGCAGCAGGTGTGGAAAGAGAACAAGAGTTAATGGTTCAGATCGATTACCTCTCTGTTTCTATCTCTATAGAAGCTCTCTGAGCTGTTGAGAATCTCCTATGTGTTTTCCTCACATGAAGTGTAGATTCTAACTGTACCTGGCTTAGTGAGGACTGAGGACTAATCCTGAACCATTTTATGAGGAGGTGGTGATGTAGCTGAGAACAAGCAAAAAGGCTTGTCTGCTTCCTTTTTGGGAAGTGCTGTCCAACAGACAATTCTGTCCTATGTGTGATTGATTTGAGTGTTTGATAGGAATGATACTAATACCCAACCACAGTCAGAAGACACTCTGTCAGGAAAATAACACAAACTGAGAGGTGAATGAGAAAAAGTACAATTGTGTAACAGAGACGTATAAAAGTGAGCACTCGGAAGGGGATGAGCATAAAGAGAGAAGCTATATTATGATGAAACTACTGTGGACCCCAATTGGAATGAATGTGGGAGAATGCAGTGGGAACTGAGGGTCTGAGGTGACAGAAAATTACTGTGATGGGACTGACAGCCAGACTGAACATAACAGAGACAAAATGAGGCAGGAACTGATAGGCAGAGTTGAGTATTAGTGATGGAGAGTGAGTGATTGGGATTGAAAGACAGTGTGTTTGAGCATGACAGACTGAGACTGCACAAAAATATGTAAGCAATGAGGAGTAATGGTGTGCATAAGCATCAGAGTGTGAAATGGTTATTCCTCTAGCCAGTTTGATTCTTATTTAATGATTATGTTCCCACAGGCATGCAGGCGGTTTAATGACAGTAATGCCTGTGTCCCAGTCTGTCCACAACCATTAATTTACAACAAGCAATCCTATCAGCTGGAGCGCAACCCAGATACCAAGTATATGTATGGAGCTTTCTGTGTGAAGAGCTGCCCTGGTAAGTGCATCTAATGTCTACATTATTGATGTAAAATTGTTTTTCTCTTATTTCACACTCTCTAAATGATGGATTTGTCAGGACAGCTCACACAATGCTTAGCAAAGTCTGTAACACTGGACTACATGCAGTAATGATCTCCCTTCCCAAGAGAACACACTATCCCACTCCACGCTCAATTTGGGCCCAGGCTGAGACTGGCTAACTCAACAGGCTGGTGGGGAGAATTGAGAAATTTCCTGTTCTGTATGGCTTAGGATGCTGACTTTAAATCCCACCTCCATTGCCTGTAAACTAGCTTGTGCATATGCACACATAGGGTTGCCTTTTTGTTATGCTGACATTCAACACGCGGAGAAATTTTAAGAGAATTATTCAATGCAGAAGGAGGCCATTTAGCCTTTGGTGACTTTGCCACCAGTGCATTCCAGATCATAACAGCAAGTTGCATTATGTTTAATAAAAGGTTCTCTTCACTTTCTCTTTAGTTTTTTGCAATTTATCTTAAATCTTTGTCCTTCAGTTATCGATTCTCACTGGTCAGGGTACAGAATGCAACATTCTATGTATCTGCAGAGTAATTTTAATTGTTGTCGATGTTGAATTAGCACATTACATGTAGTATGAGATTTCTCTTTCCATCAAAGACAGTGGGAGGGAAAATCACACGTTGTGAATTTTGGCTAGCCATTTGGATGTCATCCATCTCCTCTAAAGTTAAAAATGACACCAATGGACAATCTACTTTGTGATGAACTTTTTTTAACCACTGGAAATCATTGCTGGCACTTTCAGGCAAGTACTCATGCAATGCAACTGGTTTTCTCTGTCTTTTATCCTGCAGCAAACTTTATTGTTGACCAAAGTTCTTGCGTCCGGGCTTGTCCAAGTGACAAGATGGAGGTTGAGAAAAACGGCGTGAAAATGTGTGAGCCATGTGATGGTCTTTGTCCGAAAGGTGAGCAGCAAAATGTGAACAGTATTAGCCAGATTTTCTTCCTCATCAGGATGGCCAGTCAATAGATACACCATTAACGGGGTAAATAGGAATGCTTTGTGCCAGTCAGTAGCTAATTGGAATTTGAATTCTGTTGCTTGAATTATATCCAGCCTGTCAAAGTGCAGTGCCTGAAAACACATTGGAACTTGGAGCTGAAGTTAACCTGGAAAACCAGCAAGTGAGATAATCTTTGCTGGCTTGTTCTAAGTGTCTGCGGTGTGATTTCATATTGAGAGGCATGGTTTAAAAAGTGAGAGAAGTATAGTTTTTGTTTAAACCTTCTATTTGGTTTTTTTTGGTTAAGTTGTTTAATTTACTCACGAATTTATATCGTTCATATAATTAAAGTTGGGTATATTCTCTACTCTGTAAATGTGGCTGCTGCCAGCACACAATGGGCAGCTTAACCTAGCAGCAACTTAATAAAATTGACAGTGAATTTGCATGAAATTTCAATTCCTTGAATTTCGCAATTCCAGATTCTGCCCCCGGTCCCATGTTAGTCGTTCTGTGTCCCATCAAGCCACTAGCTACAGAAATAGAGGCCGAGGTACCCCAGTGCCAATTAGCCCTGAGGGGTCCAGCATTAAAGTCGTGTGGCCTTTACCCAGAGACTGGTAGCAAGACAGCGAACTTTTTCTCATTGTGTCAAATTTGTGGTTTTTGATGGAAGCAATATTGAGTTACATTTTAAACAATGTGCCATTATGATAGAAATGGTCTGTGGTTTTCTCAAAAAAATGGAAAAATCTGTACATGCTGGAAATCTGAAACAAAAGTAGAAAATGCTAGAAATGGCCGAGAATGTAGTTTATACTACTGGTGGGGAGCCTTCATCAGAATGTTGTCTTCTCCTCAAATATACAAACAATGTCACTCTGAGAATTTTATATATTTCTAATCAACCTGTTCAGAGATGTCATTAAACACCTCTAGAGTAGGTGGGACTTGAATTGGGGCATCCTCGCTCAGAGATAGGGACACTACCACTGCATCACAAAAATCTCTCTAAGGAATTTTATACTGATGGTGAGCCATCAATAGCAGAACAGAGCCCTTCCACTAACTCTGACATAGTCCAGAAAGAAAATCTATTTAAAACAGTGCATGGGCTCATGAAGTCCCACCCAAATATTACTGCTTTAATGTAGGCAAATGTAGCACTTGATTGTGTGCAATAAGGATCACAAACAGCAATTGAATGAATCACCTGATAAGGTTGATTTTGGTAACGTAGGTTGAAAGGGACTCCCTGGGCCTCAAATAATGGCATCAGAACTCGAAAGTCCACTCTAATGCATTGTTCCCCCAACCCCTACCCCCCCCAACAACCACGCCAGCAGTTTCTCAGCATTTCTAAATTCTCTTGATTAGGAAATTTAGTCCTGTTTATCTGAATTGCACTAAATGTTGAAGTCCGACAAAATCAGAAGATTTTTTCAACACAGGAACTTCCAACATTGCCAGCTTGTATATATCTGTTTGTGGTGACGTGGAGCTTACAGTTCCTACTCTCCAACAGCACCACCATCAGGCACATGGAGGCTCTGCTGCATGGATTTTGCAGAATCCATTTTATGCGCTGTATTTCACACAAGATGAATGTACAGTAATTGCAGAATTTGCAAATTCAACAATATTTCTGTTACCAGTGAGACTTCTTATGTTTTCACTTCTTTTCCTACCCCCAATTTTGTTTTGGTAATCTCTCCCTTGATGATTCTTTCTTGGATACTGTAGATGTTTGCAGCCCTTCCATACATTGTGTGAAACTAGGCAGTGAATCTCGGTGTATTTAATGACAGGAAATCACCAGGTTTCTGTTTGGCTGAGATGAAATAATTCAGAACAGACCAGAAGTTTTACCTAGGTCCTTCTGACCTGAATGTTTTGAAAGAGAAAGAACTTGCTTTTACTCAGACATGTCCTCTGCTTTCTTATATAACCAGCTTGTGCCGGGACTGGAGCTGGGAGTCGATATCAGACAGTGGATTCAAACAACATCGATCAGTTTATCAACTGCACGAAGATCACAGGAAATCTTGACTTTCTCATCACTGGTATCAATGGGTAAGGAAGAAAACTGGGTCACACTGACGGCTGAAAAGGCACTGTCATCATGCAAATACTGTACAATCCTAATGGCTATGAGAAGAGATTGTGAGATGTTGATGTTCGTTATTCATCCACTTCACATTCCGACCAGGTCCTGTTCTGAATGAAGTGCAGGGCTGGATGAACACAGCAGGCCAAGCAGCATCATAGGAGCAGAGAGGCTGACGTTTCGGGCCTAGACCCTTCATCAGAAAAGGGGGAGGGGAAGGGGGTTCTGAAATAAATAGGGAGAGAGTGGGAGGCGGATAGAAGATGGATAGAGGAGAGGATAGGTGGAGAGGAAACAAACAGGTC